CGATATATCATTCATTCTATTTTTATTGTTCAAAATTTCAATATTCCTAACGCTTATAATTGCTATGCTCAAAATTCCGAGTTTCAAAAGATCGAATAACAAAAAGTCCGATATAATGATAGTTCGAAAAATCGAAAATTCACCAGTCACCAACAATAGTAGAGCGGATCTTAATGGTCATAGTTCTAATCTAACCTAACCCAAATCATTTACCAATAATAGAGAGTATCTGGCGTTAATCGCCACCGTTCTAACCTTACCCAAATAACTTAATAACAGCAGATAGTACGCGACGCAGGTATAAGGAGAAGAAGAAAACCCCAAAACAAAAATTAATACTCAAATTTTAAAACAAGCATTTTCGACTTTCGGTCAAATAAATTTCGTGAATTTTATTATTATTCTTTCACATAATTATTTCGTATTTTCTCTAATTCTTAGGCATTATGATGTTCGGCCTTTTGAAAATCGGCACATCGAAATTCAGAATAAAATATTTGGGAGTATTGCCCATTATCACATAAATTATTCAAAGTATTTTTTACAAATAACGTGGCGTTCAAGTAATGAATTTTCACGTCAATTGTAAGCGTTTTAATAATTTCAGCAGTTATAGGGGTAAAAGATCTCCTGTATTGATAAGCAAAGAAGAATGGCTGGCTAATCTCAAGTAGTTATCATAAACTAGGGACTATCAAAGATTACTGACTTAGTGCCAAAAAGCGGGGAACTTATTTTATTGGTGGTGGAACGGTGGTATAGTTGGTGCTATTTTTATAATGACATTGTATTGTGTTGCCTAGAAATGTTCTACTCTTTTTAGATTATGTTCCTTTTGAGTGTATTTATTTTTTACTTTGTCTCGTTGGGCCCTGCCTCTACCAGACTAGCAATCCCATCGCCCCGTTCTTTCTATTATTATTATTATCTAAATTTCAGATTCGTACTGGACAGTTCTTTAAGTTTACTGACTGACTGAAACTTGGGATCAAAATTATCCTTCTAGCTTTTTATGAAAGCAGATAACCTGAAAAGCTGGAGTATAGCACTATAGCACGACATTATCTTAGATTGAGCAGTGAGCTTTGAACTCTGGTTCAAAGAGATATCTGCTATACCTACCTACTTAATATGGAGTATATGTTTCTAATTAAAGGAAGACAAACTTTAATAGTGTTTTGGTCTGGAATTCTCTAACCGACTGATATAGCTGTGTCTTAAATATATATAAGTTAGAAATGTTATGTCGTTATCGAAATTTAAAAGAGATCTTAAAATTTGTATAGGGTGGGGCAGACAGTTGGTCGCCGCTTACGACATCATTAACGTAACAAAATGAAATGAAACGATATAATCAAATGCGCCAGTTAGATCAAGATATATTTAAATATATAGTGTTTCCAATAAAAACTTAATATACCAATTCAGCATAAACTAAGCATAAGTTTTACCACCATATGATTGATGACCACCAGAATGATTATTGAAGACCGACTTTTACAAGTTTCACAGAAGTATTGGTATTTTGCGTTAAGTTGATGTTTTACTGGTAGAAATAGACGGCTTTATCAATCTTAAACTCTTTTAACTCTTGTTGTAGAACTCGAAAAAATCCGATTTTATAAGTCGAGTACTTTAAATATTATTTATGTCGACCATTACCGTACTGAATAATGAACCCAAAAAGGGGGGGGGGGATTATTTCTTAAGTCCGATGGCCTTTATTCTTTAAAGTGAAAAGAAACAATACAACAATTATAAATCACTAACTGAACCATATCGCGCTTCGCTGTGGCACATTTTAGTTGCATTGATGAGAAATGAGTCACAAAACTGATGCGAAAAATAGATAAAAACAATCTTTGAAGCGGTTTGTATAATTGTCAAAATTTGAGCTCAATGGCTCTACTTTTTGAGTTTTTGAATAGCACACAAACCGACTTAACAGTTTTTATATACATAGACGCTTTTCAAGACACTTTTTGCCTAGCACAACTGATCTGTGGAACAAATTATCGTCAGTTGTATTTTTGGGCCGATACAACTTTTAAACCTTCAAGAAAAGGATGTACTTCTTCTTCAAAGGCTAGCAAGGTACTTGTGACTCCTGAGCTGCAGGTATGGAGGCGGTAGTCACTTTCCATCGGGTGACCCGTCTGCTTGTTTGCCCCCTCTTCTATAAAAAAGAAAGATTGCTCGTTCGCTCACTATGTGATCTTAAAGAATTTAAAACATTTTAACTGGTGAAGACTTGTGGATTTAAAATTAACTAACCAAATATTGTTCAAGAATTTTCTATTCTATCTGAGGATGACATCGGTTAGTGTAAAAGTCTTCATTACGTAACATCCAAGTAAATGTTACTGGTACCCCTTAATGCATTTACTCGTAGTTTCGCTCTAGGCGAGGAAATGTTAATGCACCATGAAGACACGCATTGCTGCTCAAAGTTTTAAAAATATACAAAAAACAAAATATTTACTTTTGTGTTTTACACTAGTTTTACACAAATGTGGCAGTATTCTTAGCCTCTTGATGAAAGGTCTTGTTAGCTTTAAAACTGGTCTTACAGTTTACAAATAGGTTGTCAGTCAAACCATAGTTGTATTAGTAAAAACGTGTATTAACACAAGTTTCTGTCATGTTCTAACTAACAACTTCAACTCAACAACCTGAATGGCTACAAATCAAATAAGATTAAGATATCTTAATTCGACTTCACTGAATCTGTAACTCATCTATACAAATAAATATGTTTGTAATGTAAAAATAATAGGTTTTATCATACTTACACGGTTATTTGCACGATACCTATGCCTAATAACCAGTTTTTTTTTGTCTGTCTGTTTGTTTCGGGTAATCTTCTGAACGGCTTGACTGATTTTGATCATATTTTAGTATTAGGTGGCTATCTATAGAAGAAGTAACTTGGGCTGTTTTTCCTCTTAGAAAAACCCTATAAAATTTTGGCCGGTCCGGGAATGGAACTATGGCAGCGCTTTTCAAATTTCGAATGAAGTCGCGGGTACCAGATAGTGAATAAATATAAAACCTAAGTTCGTCCACACTTTCTATTCTTTTAAGGTGTTACTCGTGAATATTTATATCAAATGAAGGTTAATTATTTTACTTAATTATATATATATATATATGTATTTATAATATACAAAGTATAACAGTATTTTTGTGGAAGAGCCATGATTCAACACATGTTATGGGCCAAACTCGACCGGAATAGTACCACGGTCTTGCAAAAAACCGGTGTTAAACAGTTTTTCATTGCTTTTCACCAAGTGAGTGAGGTTTTTGGCTCCCAAACCCTCCGCTTTACCTGATTCTGGGGGAGAGACTAAAAAAAAATTGAAATCAGGTGCCATTCTGATTATGCGCCTGTTGCAAGATTATCCTACAACTGCGTAAAATGTTCGACGCTACTTTACATGGATTTGAAAAGAATACGCAAATTACTATAAATTAATATTATAATATATTAATCTAATCTCGCAAGCTTCTAATTAACCCTTTAACCGCTTTTTTAAATGATTCCAAATGATTTATTTATGATTAACATTCTGATTATTTCGCAACTTAGTATACAGATGTGATGGTATATATTACATGTATAATGTTAGTACGTCATTTTCTGATTTTCTGATGACTTTGTATGACTATCCATCAGTACGTCATTTTGTAAATAATTTATTTACAAAATGACGGACTGCTTTTTTCAGCTTCAAAACTTTTAAAATAGAACAAATATGGTTATAATAACAATTAAATTTCTACAATTATTAAAATCAAATATAGTACCCACTAAGTAAAAGGAGACATTTATCAATATCAATTTTCCACATACATTATCTCCGCAAAAAAACATTGTTTTTTTATGATAATGATGAATTAAATAATTAAAAGATATTTTACAAAAAAATATAATATAGAGTTCTATGCAATGGCTTGATCGTTTGATGAGTTGGCTACGAACGAGTGATATAACTGATGTTGCGCAATGACAGCCATCGGTAATCGTTTGCCGTATAAGGTGGTATGAAGTTTTGTTGTATGAAAGACATTATGATTTAATAAATATAATGTACTAACTTTTTCTTTATTAAAGTTCTTTTTTTCTAAACTAATACTTTTTTGTGATGAAAGTAATAAAGTCTGCTATATCTGATAAGATAAGGCGTGAAGTTTAACAATATATATTTAAACCATTTATAAATAAAATGAAACAATTTAAAAATCACATCACAGATTTGTGGAGAAGTAGTTAAATAATGGTTAATATTAGAATCAAAATCCCACGTCTGAACACTGTCTTCCAACATACAGGCAATACAGGCCTAGTTTGAAAAACAGTTCTCAGTCATTGATATTTTTTGTATATCAATGTTCTCAGTACCTTTAGATTAATACATGTTCAAATGTGTAAACTGTAATGTGTCTCCAGTGAAAGAATCTGTATTTATTTTGGTCTAATAAACATTTTTATTAATTTTATTTATTTGTTTATTAAATACCGTAATCACTTTCCACCACAATAGTTAAAAACGTAAGTGAAACCGCAAAGCATATTAATAAAAGAACAATTACTAAATAATTAGGCATTACTCAAAGTAGTCTCAGTGCAAATGAAAACGATTAAGAATAATTGTGAATGACGTCACAGAAAATTGTTTACGTTTCAAAGCGTACACTTTGAGAAGTGACAGTGTTTGTTTGTGTGCGTACTTAGCATCCCGCATGGTCATAGCACCCACTGCAGTAATACTAAACTCACACTAGCGAACCTCCACGGTCCGCTACCCCCGTATATAAACCTCACACAGACTAGCCTTGAACTTCACTTCACGACAGCCAGATCCACCACACGACCGTACACTTTCCACCCCGATCGCAACCCTTACGAATAACTAGGAGTTTGGACTACGGTGTCAGTGAATAAACTATGTTGTGTTGAACTGTGTTGATTGGTGTCGAAACTGATTCACGTGAAAATGTTGCCCATACTACGAACCGTAAGTTTTGCAATCTTTTAAATACGTTACACACAGTTTTTCATCAGAAACCCTTGGAAGTATATCATAGTTTATTCAAAAGATCTATTTGATGTGAATAAATTATTGAAATATATTCGTTTACGTTTAGTATTTCCGATTCAATTTTTATGATGTAGCATACAGATTAGTCACGACTTACATATAAATGGATATATTATTACTATTATTACATAAAGTACAACATTAAATAAATATTTCCAATGACAAATACACACAATTGAATAAGATTAATACTAATTATTTTCTTTTACCGAAGTAAGTCTCCTTGTATCATTCTTTGATTTCATCTAGGTCAGATTAATCTCTTAAGAAACGTTTTTAGAATAAATTAAAGGTGGTCACAATTTAATTTAAAATCACTTAATTTGTTCATTTTTTAATAAGGATTTACATTATTATTAATATGTAATGATGTATTTTAAGTAGGTATATAATAAGTCATTACACAGAAAGCGAATAAAGAAGTAAGTTTTCTGTATTCTAACATTTTTTATAAAAAAATTACGCTTTACGTTAATTACGATGTCTGTTACGCGACTCAAAAATGATGACCATAGTTTTCTGTTACCAGAGAATTCACTAATAAAGAATCAAACTTGATGATAGTAATGTTTAAACGAAATACGTAGTTTAGATATAACATTATAATATCTTTTCTAACAATAACTCTAACAACATTTGTGGAACAAGCAACATCTCTGGCATTATTACTAATATTGTATTATCTTTGTATTAATTTGTCCGATTTTCATAGATGGTGTAAAGTTCATGTCAAAGATTTACATTGAAAATTAAAACAACTTAGGTACTTTATTTAACTTACGAGTACTTTAACCTTACTGTGTTTCGAATTAACAGTTCAAAGTAGAAACCAAAGATAAATAAATATTTCATCATACAATCTTTCGGACTCTCCTTAATGAGTTTTGAAAGAGGTCATGTATAGTTTATGTTCTGAGTTTTGTGAGAATATTATGAACGGTTTATAATTTTTATGTTGTTTAGGTATATGTTCTTCTTTTTAGCACCAACTATGAAATCATTTATTTGAATACATAAGGTAAAAAAGTGAATTAGGAAAAGCGTATGCCTTTTAATATTGTTTTAAAAATGTTTATTTCTTTTTCTATAAACCTTAAAGTAATTTAAAGTGGTAGAAGCCTTTTTCATTTCTACGTGCGCAATATTTGCTTAAAAAGATGCATAAAGTATTCTTTTCACACATTAATATGCAGATTAAATATACACAGCTACATATGCATTTAATAAATAATCAATTCTGGAGACATTTATTTAGATACTGTATTTAGACGGATGGCATACAGACAATATTTGGTGTGGTAAAGACAAATGAGTTCAGTAGGTAATATTTTTCCTCAGTGTTTCATAGATTATATTTCTTGCTTTCACATCTATTCATAATCTTCAAAGTAATCACTGAAAAAATAGGCAAATATGCCTTTTTTACCTCCAAAAGAGCTTGTAATTACAATAAACTAAAGATTTATGGTTAAATTTCAACTCTAAGCGACCCCTAACCAAAGAAAGTAAAATATTTGTAAGAAATCATTTTACGTGTAAATGAAACTATTGTTACTTAACTAGTAATAAATAATTAAACTATTACTATTGTTACACGTGTAGACAAAATAATCATGAAATGTTATTGTCGGTTGTTTATATGACTGGTAATAAAAATTTCACCTGTAACAACTTTATAAAAAACCGTTTACTTCATGCATGCTGCCTGATGTCTGATGTCTAATGCAGTGTCAGAGAATACTACTGAGGTTACTGTTAAAAATGCGAAACCGCAACATAATGTTTTATTTTAAGTATGAGATAACGTCCGTGTAGTGACGGATAAAGAACATGGAGTGTCACCACCCCTATTCATCCATTCATCGTGAGAGTCGAGAAGGGAGAAAACTATGCAGGACAACAGCACTGCAAAATAGAAGGAAAACTTGAGACAAACCCTATTCTAACCCGTTTGGCCACCGTCTTATAGTAGGCCAAAATATCCTTTCTAAGAAGAGGCCTATGTCCTGCAGTGGACTATTAAAGGCTGATGATGATGCTTTACTATAGTAGTAGTGTAGTAGACATATACAGTATCGAGATCTACACAACGAGTGTTATGTAGATCTTAGCGCTATACCCCAATTACCCCAAACTTACAGAAGAAGTAGTAGAGAAGTGTAGAGAAGTCAATAGCATTGGCAGTGCGCGTTAAAAGTTTTCAGGTATGGACAGATAAAATATTGATTAGCAATAAACTGCAAAAGAAAATAATAACTGATTTAACTAATTATATAGAATAAAAATATAAAAAACGAAAAGGAAATTGGTACATTTCAATATTCTTTATTTGTGAAGAGTGTCTTCGGCAAAACTATCACATGAAAGCTTTTTTGTTTTGGGCACACTGGTAACGAACATAATCAATATCAATACTTTGGCATGCTTCGTTGTACATACGACCAGCTCTGATTATGATATGAGTTATGGCGATATCTAGTCCTAGTATCAAGTAAATTAGACCTGTGCCATACTGATTTAAATAATATTTACCTTTTGTACAGATACTTGAATATACAAAATTAAACATTTAGATATAAAATCTGATTATTTGTAATTGCTTGTAAATTTTATTGTGCACCTTATTACAAAGGAATTAATAAGTGAACCATATCAAAGAGACTATTAGAAAGAATTACCACGTAAACTATTAATTACTAAGGTTTAATAACCTTTCAACGGCAATGCAATAGAATCAACTTTATGGTCATCGAGCTTGAATGTTCTCTCTATCTGTTTTGTCAGCCGAGAAACTTAACAGCTTTGTTGATTTTCATTGGTACTGCGACTTCAATTCTATTTTATAAGAGGTAGTATTATTGTTCAGTATATATATTCTGTATAATATATGCCATTTAGATTTTGTAGTAATTGTGTTTTACCAAGTCAGAATTTAGTATGTTATTTAACAGTAGCCGGTATGAAAATATTCTAAACAAAACGGTGATAATTCTAAACTTAAATACTTCTTGAAACATTCAGCAACTTTTTATTTTATTGACTTTAAGATACATTTTGGTAGTAGCATGATGCTAGCCTATAAATTTCCTTGATAATGGGCTATCCAACACTAAGAGATTTTTGCAATTCGATCCGATAGTTCTTGAGAATAGCGATTTCAACCAAACAAACAACCAAACTCCTCACCATCATCACCATCAACAGCCTTTAATAATCTAATGCTGGACATAGGCTTCTTCTTAGACAGGAGGTTTTGGCCTACTATAAAATGCTGGGTTGGTATAGGGTTTGTTTCAAGTTCTCCTTCTCTTTGCAGTGCTGTTGTCCTGCATAGTTTGCTCCCTTATTCGACACTTACGACATCCACGGTATGAATACGGGTGGTGACACTCCGTCTTCTTAATCCGTGACCAAACGGATACTCCAATGGATTCTCCTCAGCTTTATAATATTAGAATAGATATCACGGCGAGCGAGTTGCGCTTCAAAAACAGATTGTTTACATTTTATGGATCATTTGTTACCATATTATATTTTCAATCCTTTGAAAATATAATATAGTAGGTAGCTAATCGTGACAAGTGACAGCTTGTAATTTTTAGTTTTGACCAAAAATTAGTAGGTTACAGCATTAACGTGTCTTATCTGCCTAACTGAATGTCTGTTCTCATATATGCATACAAACAGCTTTTCATTTTATGCCACTGAATATTTACATTTAAAAAAATACACACCATAAGGATTACACAAATATAGTCTACAAAATTTATAGTCTGTAATTTTTTTGCCCTACGCTGCGTGTGGCCCGATACGCATTTGGCCGATTTTTTTTATTTCTTTCAAAAGTTTGCTTAATAGAGAGTTTTTGTAGCTATAATTGCAAAAACATTTAGCATTCGAATATCATTATATCTTTCTAATGGTGGATAGGATTATTGCGTCGGGGTATTTTTAATTTACATTTCGAATCTATTTGACGACAATTTATTAATTAAATTTATTTATTTATTTAATTAAATTTAATTTATTTATTTATTTTATTTTTATCTATTTTTCTTTGACGACCGAATGGCGTAGTGGTTTGTGTAACGGACTGCTATTCCAAAGGTCGCGGGTTCGATTCCCGCTCAAGTCAAACATTTGTGTGCATGAACATTTGATGTTTGATTTGGTCTGGGTGTTTCTATGTATAATATGTATGTATTTACAAAAAAAAAGTATATATGTATTTATATCAGTTGTCTAGTACCCATAGTACAAGCTCTGCTTAGTTTGGGACTAGATGGCGTTGTGTGTATGTGGTACAATATTATTATTATTATTATTATTATTATTATTTACCTACATCTAAATGTATCTAATCTATTTCATGCATCGTTTTACAGTTCGATCATAAGACTGTAGTGTAAGCTCGTCCTTAAAGACAGATGTTCAAATACATTGTGTTGTATAAAATGAAGCTAAAATATAAATAATGCTTTGAACACATAACCATAATCTAACTACAGAAACATACAATTACGAAAGTGTGTTTCCATCTGTTTCCGTTCAAACAATAATTCTTCAAACACTTTCTCTACGATATTATCTCAGTTGCATAAGCCGGTCCCGTTTAGATCGTCCTACTTTGCTGCCATAAACCTTAAACATACATAAATATGCTATAAATTGTGTAATACAAACGAGGCCAATGAAATCCCTTTTAATATGTTATGGCGATTGACAAAGTGACCTTTTCGATTTTGTCACAGTTTAATGGTATTTAAAATGCATTTTTATGCACATAAATTGTTCACAAATATTTGGTCTTGAAAATTCATTCAATAATAGAATTGCATGTACATTTTAGGATAAACAAAACCATTTATTTTTTATATGTATTATATGCATTATATTATGGTTAATTTTAATAATTATATGTAAATAAGCATGTTTCGAAACAAATTTAAAAGCCTCGAAAGCCTTTTATCTATGTATTTTAAGGCTATAAATTGTTATAGGACTAAATCAATTATTACTGTTGTCCGTAATACGTAAACAATCATAAAATGGTTTGTATTGTTAGAAACCGTAGTAATAAGACATTTTTAGTCGACACCTAATATGTTAGTGTGGGCGAGATGCATCTTAAAGTATAACTTTGCTTACAGTAGTAGTAGTTAAACAAAGTTTAGTTGACAGTAATTTTTGAGTGCCGAAAAGATTCATGTGATCGAAGGCGTGAAGAAGTAATCATTAACTTTAAATATTAGTGTGGAACAAAACCATAGCAAATCACAAACAATCAGTTAAACTTGCACTTTCATTAAACCGACTAGCCAGTCAATTTCACTGTCGTTGTTCCCACAGCACGGTAAAGACCTCGAAGCTGTCTATACAGGTAGTTAGTGCTAAAAGCGACAAGGTATGTTCTGAAGCGCACTTTCCCTGTAGGTGAAACCGTGACCATGGAGGGCAGAGAGGCGGAGAACATCCCAATACAACTCGCTGTCGCGGCGACCTTTGACTCTGGGAACGTAATGGATAGGCATTTGGAAGATGTTTGTTGTTGTGTGGTTTTCTTTTGCAATTACTCTATATTCACACAATAAATACTAGATTTTAAAGGGATCTTAGCATTGAAAAAGTAGAAAAATGAATACGTGTGCACACTAACTTTTATTGTTTTAAAAATAATAAATTAAATAAAAATTATTAGACTATGCCTGTAAGTATACCTGGAAAATATTGCTCTCGGCAATAACGCCACTCTTTGTACATTACATGTCTGATATTTTTATGTGCCATACTACTTGTAAAACGGTGTACAAATAAAGAGTTTTCCATCTATCTGTACAATAGGCTATAGAAACAGTAAAGCTTTGGAATTTGGATTAACCATCCCTTCCTTTACAATGCCTTTGCATTGCTTTTGCAAATAAATCATAAATACCCTTATAATATATATGTATATATATAGATAAAAACTATGATGAATTAGAAAATTTAAATATATATTTTTATTGTACTAGGCAGTTTTCTTAAATGTGACGTTTATACACTACTGCCGTGCATTAAAGACTAACTAAATAAAATAAAGTAAGAAATAACTAAATATCTCATTTTTATCTCCGGGTATTAAGTCAGCTTTGACTGTGTTTGTTATTAAGACTTATGATGGGAACCTATAGTAAATTGATATTACTTTGGCCTAACCTCGAGGTCTCAGCTTGCATGAAGTCATCAATTTTATTCGTACTAATTTGCAAATACAATTATCTAAGTTATCTAACTAGCGATACCTTTTCTTTGTTGTAGAAATTGAGTTACCTAATTAATGTTCCAAAAAAGGCTTTTAAATGACCCTAAATAAAATAGAAAATCGTTATTCTTTCCAAAAGTACGTAGGTATAAAAGTTGTATTTAACAATACAATTACATTACACGTAACCAGAGATAGTGCATTTCCTATTGTTAATCAATTTAACCATACAATTAACCAATAACTGGTCATTGCTAATGTGCCCTACATCGGAGATCCATTATGAAAATGATCGTATCAGGTTATATGTATGTATATTTGCGGTAATTAACGCGATCACGTTGTAACCTGGTTGCTCTCTCACTAAGGCTAGTGCCATACCGCTCACTAACTCTTTGCTGATGGAAACGACAGGCAGTACAAAGGCATGTAATACCTACTGTCTGTTCAATAAGGTTATCTATATTTTTTGAATGCCAGTTATAAAGTTTAAAGAGTTCATGTGCAATAATGTGTTTATAACTCCTGTCATTAATATAATTAATTACCAAGATTGAAGTAAAAATTACCTACCAGAAAAATAAAATTTAAAAAAGTGAAAGATAAGATAAAATTAAAGGTGTGAATTATTTCCGCTTTGTTTAAAGTACTCAAATATGCTTCAAACAAAGCGGAAATAATTCACACTTAGCACTAATTAAGTTAGTCCGTCTTGTAATAAAGAAATTGCAATATTTTATTGCAATATAAAAATATCATAAAACACATCACTCTGATAAGCACCACATAAAGTATTTATAAGCAGTTCAACCATAGATTTTTTCGATCGTCTATTTGAAATAATAGTGGTATAAAGGTTAACTAAGATATTTAATTACATCGGGTATTGTTTCATCATAAGATATTTTACCTTGTATATTATCGTAATTGTATAACAATAATTACGTTTAATGAACATTATGGTAATACACTATAATTTAGTCGACACATAACCTCAACTATTAGTCTTTAAGTTATATGATTGCCCTTTCACACTAGTTGGCATTATCCTGTTTTGCTGTATAATGATCACGAATCGAAAGCCTTCCAACAGGTATAAGCTTTCTATTGTGTGAACTTGCTCACGACCTCTTTTATCGTAAATCAATAGCTTCACTATTTAAATTCTCTAATATTATGCCGCATTTATACATATTTTGTGACGTATGCTTATATTTGCGTATCAACATTGATTTTTTTTGATTCCTTTGATTTGAATTTGGCAGGTTTCTTTTCCGCATTTCTCTGTCACACTTCTATCGATTAGGTTCATTATACAATATTGAAATAATAATAAAAGTAAACAGAATACTCCTATAATACGTACTACCTCGTAGCCATGTATTATACATTTGTTTTACTTAGATATTATGTACAATTTGAATCTACTTACAAATTGCATCGAAATGAAATGCACAATTGTATAAACTTATTTTAATTTGAGTCAGTTATAAACCGGTGTACAAAATATCACTAATAAAATATTATTGTCTTTTGTTTCCATCATGCATGCATTTGGCCATACTATACAGTTGCTATGCTATTTTTAAACTTGGTAACATAGAAAAAGAAAAGAGATACAAAAAGTACATTTAAAACAAAAAAATATCTCAGACCTAAGTTATAGGAATGAATTCTTAACCATATGATGAAAGTACACGCTCGATTACCCGAACATACCCAGGTCACGATCTCTGCTAAGCACCACAAGCACTAAGCACCACGATCTCCGTATAAGAATAAGAAGTTTTTTGGCATTGATAGTCTTGTACTTTATTGGAATGACAACCTATATTATTACATCATCAATTGATCAACCAATTGCAATCCACTGCTTACAACAGGTCTTTCTTCAACTCAAGTTGACATTTTCGATTAACGATCTACATTCTATGACCCGTTTGATATCAATACTATCGTTCCTTCGATAATGTAACTCACATTGAACCTTTAGGATAAAACATTTTTAGATCTTAGTTTAGGACCTCACTCAGACTTTCATATCATACGTACTGTCTCACAAGGTGGCTCGCTCTGAATACTTCATCGCACTAACCGTATGTAGTACAACAATAGTGATACAATTAAAAGAATCCAAGTCAGAGTGTGGGAAAGCGATTCACGGCTGAGAGGGCGCATCTCACTATCGCGCGCTCGCGAAACACTCTTGCGCATACCATACGGTCATCGCCCGAACGGTGATTTACTTGCACACGCTTGCGCACTTCTATTTCGACCTACACCTGTCACATCAAACATTGAATACTGACTTGTTACGTTACTTTATAAGCACAACTGTTAATGTCGTATATCTATGATGCAAAGTTGGAGTAAATTTATACTCGCAACATTTTAACACGATATAAAATCAGCATTGCATTAAAACTGTTTTGGATTCTAAAACTTACATCCACTTCATTCAAAATTTCATTCATATCTATTATTAGGAACTTGAATTTTATTCGATTATCCTTTTTATTAGCCTGCCTACCAGTTTAAAGCTATTAATAAGTCATTTAACAGACAGTATAATCAATGTAATAGTTATTAAATATCTACGTAAATACCTTTAGAAATGGTTAATAATTAAATGAGAGCAATAGCCAAATTATCTTATTTTTCTATATCGCAATACATTCTAGCGATTAAGTCTGATCGTATTTTTTCTTGAGCGTATTATAAATATTGCAGATTCCAAAGATGCATAATGTATTTTTTCAGTGAATTGCTTTCACTTTTCTAGTTGCGTTTTAATTAATCTTTATGAAGTGCACGAAATGCAATCAATTACGCTACGGTATGATTGCTTGACTTAAAAAATAGTAGAAGTAAATAATATCTCGCTTTTTGTACATTAGGAAATTAAGGAAAATAGAAAATTTACTAAGCTGACTAATTATATACAATACAATATGGTGTGCTACTTGTATAGCAGTTGTTTTACCATAAAATCAGGTTACAAGTTAACTTATTATCATCATGTAATTGGCTATAGTAATGAAAGCTAATCAATCAACTAAAGTATGCATTATTCAGAAATCTAATTTGACAAGTTTTGGAACCGTAGGTATCATGACACCCATAAGTGGTAGTTGAAAGGGAAACTAAAAGCTCTTGCAGGAAAACAAAAACTTGAAGGACGAGTTGAACAGGTAATGATAGGACTGGATAAGGTCAGACATCAGCAGGCCATTATGAAAATTACCTTTCTAATACTGTTAACCTATAGTGTAGTGGGTGGATTTATCAAACAAACAGTTAACGCACCTATCATACGACAACATTATATTAAGCTTTTTAATTTATTTATGAACTTAGTTGCAATCAAAATCACTTGTTAGAATTAATAGTGTTAATTATAATTTGACGATTTATTTTTATTCTGTTACAGATACGGTTATTAGTGGCAATTCAAATAATTACAACCATCCGCGGTGAGGATGGGTTCGGTGAACAAAACGTGCACTTGCAACACTTCGCCTCAAATAATGAAAACACCAATGGTCTTTCATTCAATACTAATCTTTTTGAAAAAGATCCAAACGCCCAGTCTGTAAGTGTAAACAACGTTCAATACCAACAAAATGATTACACGAATGGTAACAATGATTTTAATCAGCGGTCGCCGTATGCCAGAAGCAAAAAGGTGTATAGAATAAAAAATCCCTTCCAAACCCAAAAAGAAGATTCGGAAAGGCAACAGGAAAACACTTCGTCACAAGATAGTGGAACCGGGGCTAGTAATCAGTATGCATCTGTACAGTACTCTTTACCACCAGAGGAATTCCTAAAGCAATTGAGGGCCGAAAGTCAGTATTACCAGCAATCACAAGTATCAACACCAGCTTCTAATTTAGGGTATACAGCAACCCCTGCACCACAGCAACAATATCAATACTCAACAATCCAGTACTCAACAGTTTCTCAACCTACGTATGAAAATAGTAACCAACAAGGTAATAATCAAATGCCTTTAGAACCCAAATCATCATATGGTTCTACATATGACTCTAGTCCTAGTCTGTATCAGTATAGTACAACAAGTACTTTCTTAGATAACACTCAAAGCACTCCTAGTCCTGGATTCTCACATTTATCGACCCCTTTAAACAATGGCCAATATAGTAGTCAATCAAGTACGTATGTCTCCAGCGCTTCACCAGTGTATGTTTCTAGTCCCTCAAATCAACAATCATTTTTTTCATCCCCACTGTCTATGATTCAAACTGGTTCACCGGACTATGGCAACAGAGTTACATCCACAATAAGTAACAATCATGGAAACTATGAAAATAATGATTATTCTGCTGGCAGATATCCAATAAACATACAACAACAATATCAAAATGATTATTCAACTACGACAACTCCAAATCCTTCATCATATTCAGAACATATAAGGGATATGTGGCAAAATAACGTAAACTCTGGTAATAACGGTGCATCCGTGCACTTGCAAAACAATATGTATAATCAGTATCAAAAGAACCAATTTCAAAGTAAACAAGAGGACATGAGGGCAGATACATATGCAGAGAATACCAATACACACCGCATTGGCAGTATGACTTCAGCAAATAATATGTTTGTCAATTATGTTCAACCCGATAATCAAGCTTTAAATAATTTAAAACTTCGAACAAGAAACTCCGATCATGAAATAAGTCAGACAGGTCTTTACTCAAATGGTGATTTTGGGTGGAAGTTAACGGGCAAAAAGCCTTTAACTGATACACATTCTTCATCAAATTATTACAGATATTCTCCATCGAATACAGAAACTTCAGATAATACAGCTATAAGTCAGATGAATTTTCATATGGGTACTGGTAAGCCCTACAGCCAAATTTCTAAATCCACATCTGATACTATTGATCAAGAATTCGCTCAAGCGGCTGCAAATGCACACGAACGATTTAAACAACAGCAACAACTGCAACAACAGCAGCAACAACAATATTCCAATATCAATACTTCCGGAATGAGCAATCATGGTGGTGGGGACCCAAATCTTCAAGGAATTTCATATTATAGAAATGATGACAAAAATAATAAATTTACAGATTTAAATTCAAACTATTATTCGCAGGGCTATTCTCAAAATGACGTTGTAACGGCCTCACCATTTTACTTATCAGTCCCTCGAGATAATATAGATAACAAAGCAAAAGAACCATTTGACCATGATAAAGCCTTAAAAAATATAGTTCCCATTGGTGTATCAAACGTAGTTAGTAGTGCCGAATCGAAACCAGGAACAAGTTCGGAAAACAACAATAGATTATTTTCATTAAATTATGCTAAGGACCAACCAGACCAAAATATAAGGCAATACATTCGACCTGTAACAGATTCTTTTTATAAGGATCAAAATGCTTTTTATGGATTCAACGTAAAAACTAAAAGTGATGATTATTCACCAGCCGATAATTTTAAGAACGCAGAGCAAGATGGTTATGGTAAACAATCTCAATCTCAAGAGCCAAGTTATAACCAAGGCTATTCAAGTTCAACCCAGGGTCTCAGTTACTTAACTCAACCATCAAATACTTATCAGGATAACCTTCAGTCATCAAGTACGCAACAGTTTGGATTACATCGCAACCATAACCAATTACCGACTGATATAGCTAGTATCTTAAAACTTAATGATATGCCCCACAAATTAACTCAAGGGTTATCTAGCGATGCTTTAAAATTCCACAACATTAATTTTGAACACGGAGGCATACCGTCACCTTTACCTATGAGAATTAATCAAAATGTCGGTAGTCACCAACTTGATGTTACGACCAATTTACTTAACAAGTTGTTACTAAATAAACAACCGACTATAAATATCAATCAACCAGGCATACATAGTCAAGCTAGTGGTTCAATGTCGACTATAAACGGTTTTAAGGTTGTGAATCCTTATAACGTAGACCTAAAACTTGTTTCAGAATTATTAAAAGGAAAACCTGCTGCAGATGACACCCATATGTTGTCAGTTAGAGACCAATATACAAACCCTTCACCATTAAATTTAGATTATAATTCTCAATTACAGTTGCTCTTGAAAAACGATAATAATCGAAATTTAGTAAATGATGGCCTAAGTGCGCTTGGTAGTTCCTTTATAGATACGTACAGTAATAGTAGATATCCTTACCAAAAGTATTCTCGAAGCCAAGAGGAGGAAGAGAGTATAGTACCTATTGCTGCCGCCTCGAACACTCATCCTATAGGAGCTGTTATGGAGCCAGAAGATTCTGCAAGTGAAAGAGAAGTTAACACCGCTGGTGATTATACCGCGCAAAGTGATGTTTTTCAAGATAATTTTGAAGAAATTAGACCAAAGACGCGTTTTATACCTGGATCTAGAATAGTAGGAGAAAGGAATAGACATCCGAATATACTTATATCAGGAAGACACTCTTATCAAAAGACACATTTCAAATCAGACGTAAGTGAGCCTCATCCTTTGTTAAAACCACCTTCACCACATCATTCGCCAAGAGGGAGTCATATGATACTTGAAAATAAACATAATCGCAGGAGGCGCGTGCATAAGCCTAAACTGCTTCGTGTTATTAAGACTGAGCCGTTATTTGAAGCGGGTGCACTGCCTGAAAACTTAGATAATTCTGTGCCAATACTATTGCGACCACCTGCACCTGTTGCTGAAGCGAAATCTGATTTTGTAGATTCAGACCAGACGTTATAGAGGTCTTATATTGAAAAAAGGTTGACTCATCTATTTAAAGTTCTTTATTGTATAATTTAAGCAAGTACGTGTAACTTTATTTCTTAGATGTTATTTTACGATATGTTGAAAATTGACTATTATTTACCGATATAAATTATGTAATAGTCGGTAAACCTAAATTTGGCATTTATTTTGTTATTTAAAAGAATATTGATAAGTTTAACTGTGTATTTGTAAACAATTTTGTTAATATGTTTATTGAGATGTGTTTATTATAAGGTAAATGTATTTATTGTAAATATTGTTTTAAAACTTTAGTCTATTTATAATTGTGATAAGTTAAATTTATTGATGTTGACGAATTTTTGTTAGTTTTTTAAAGTTAGAAAAAAAAGTATAAGAACAGTAATGTGCATCATTTACTCCTATAATTCCCTCTCTTTTTTTACAAATACAACAATTTGTGGTTCACAAAAAGTGTTGTCCCCTGTGGGGATCGGACCCACAACACTCAGCGTAGCAGTAAACGGCGTATTAAACCACTACGCCACCCGGGCAGTCTTTTAATATACTTGTGTAAAAACTATATAAAAATTTATAGTTATGTGTCTTTACAAGTCTTTAATCAAAGAGACCGGCAAACGGCTCACCGCCCCACGTCTAGTTTTTGTGAATATGTCTTTTACACAGAAGACTGCAAGAATAATGCTTTCTAAAGTTGTTTTTTTTTCAAATGTTTAGTAAATAAAGTTGTCTTGGAGCACAGTAATAAATGATTTTAAGGAACGCATTTAATTGTTGTGATTCGTTTAATGTAATAGTCGCGTGTGTCTCGCTTTCTGCTCCAGTTCCATACTTGAGTGACACTGATGAGTAATAAGTACATGTTTAGTATCGTGAGTGGTCCGAGCATACATTCGAATCATCATGCAACGTATTCATCTTTGTAAGTGCCTAACGAATATCACCTGCGTTTACTCTTGTAATTACTGTATTATAAAAACTTCCACGCATAATTTGAATGAGATTTGACTTGCCAATGGTTAATTGGATGTCAATAAAATACAGATATCTTATTAAGTGGTGAATTAGATTAGTGAAATATGATCGAGTATATCCAATATTATTTTATCGTTCTAAGACTCTTTCAGTTACAGAAAAGGTTTCTTAAAATACCATAACTCGATCGAATTTAAGTAATATTTTAGAATTAAAAAAAAAAGAACTTAAAATTAGAAACTTTTCGAAAATGAATGATTTCTAAGATTAAATTTTCCAACCTTTAATAATTACTATACTTTTGATAGAAAACAAATAATTTAACTCGTATATTTAAACCACAGAACAGGTCTGAAATTTAAACCTAGTGGACTGTTTCAAATGAACTAATAGCTCCTGGTAGAGAGCGATATCACAAGAAACATCGACTATTAATGATCATCATCATTAACAGCCTATAACAGTCCACTGCTGGGCATAGCACCTTCTTTTTTTTTTTTGCGTGCGGAAATCCTAGAAAGGAAGTCCCTGGTGCCCCGACATACCTCGAGCCATCTACAACAACAGGTAGACGACCCCCCCCCCCCCGTGTGGGAACCCCATGTTCCCTCCGCTCGCCACCACCCTGGCCTGCTTCTGCTAGGGTGACAGATGGCCTCACCTGTCACCCCCAGGCCTGCGCTTATGGAGGACAGAGGTCGTTCTGCGACCTCCGGCGCCTGAGTCGCCTGCGGTACCTGGCCCGTTCCCGGGCCTGGCGGGCCGGGAGAGTCCTAAACCTCTCCCGGTCCCACTCCGCCGTCTCCTTCGCGAGCATAACTTGCTCGCAGAAGGAGACGGCAGAGTTCCACGCACTCTCGCTCCGCACGATAGCCGCAATCAGGCTATCGAGCGAAAGAACTCCCACTCCGATGGCCGCCAAGAGGTCTCGCCTCTGCTCAACCCACGCCGGGCACTCTGCCAGCGTGTGGAGAGCCGTGTCCACGGTCTGGCCACCACAGTGGTGGCACTCAGGCGTTGGCTCCTTGCGGATCAGACACAGGTGATCCCCGAAACATCCTTTATCAGTGATCACCTGCGTCAGTCGGTATGAGAGGGTCCCGTGACGCCTCTCGAGCCAATCCTCCCTAATGGGTCTTACCGCCGCGATGACGGCGTGCCCGGCGTTCGGTTGCCCAAGTCGTTCCCTCCACTCCCCTATGATGAGCTGAGTTGAGACTTCCGGTCATCGATTACTCGAATCTCAGGACACCGACCCAACTACCGCGCCTCCTTGCGCCACTGATACAAAGCCGTAAGGGCTCTCGCCTTAAGGTCCCACGGTGGAGTTCCGGCCAGGAGACTCGCCGCCTCAAAGGAGATCGTGTGGTATCCCCCTATGATCCTGATGGCCAGCACTCGCTGCGTCGTCGCAGTATCGCGACGTTGCTGGCCTTCAGGGCCCGCGCCCATACTAGGCACCCGTAAAAGGCCATGGACCGCACAACCCCCAAGTAGAGTCTCCTGCAGGAGTCATCGGGTCCCTTCATGTTGGGCAGCCGCCGCGCCAACGCACGCGCTGCCCCAACCAACTTGGGGACCAGACCTCGGAAATGATATCCGAAGTCCCATCGGCCATCGAGTACGAGCCCCAGATACCTGATCGAGGGCTCGATGCCGATGCGAGTGCCTCCTATCGTGAGGCTAGATCCCTCAGGGGGCTTCCTCCAAAGCCCGTGGAAGAACAGGGCCTCGGACTTGTGCAGAGCCACCTCCCTGCCGCCGGATTCGCTCAACGACTTGGGCAACCCCGGCCGTGGCCCTCAGGGTTGCCTCGTGGTGCGTCTTGCCGCGCGCCGTCACGAGCGTGTCGTCCGCGAAGCACACGACGGCGATGGGCATAGGACCTAAGAAAGGAGGTTTTGCCCTATATATACCACGTATACGATAACTATTACTAAATTATATTAATGCTATAGCTGATTAGGAAGACGTATATATAAGTAATTACTACCTTTGCAGTAACCACGAATAATGCAGTATTTTAAAGCTTCGTTACACACACGATTACATACCATAATTAAAAGACGCTAGTGAGACACATTCTTATACTAATATCTATATCACTCCATTCTTTCAGAGTAAGCATTCCCTATAGTTATATAAGGAATGCTTAGGTTTATAGTTATAGTATATACCGTTTTTTACTGGCTGTTTAATGAACTAGGATCACCAGCTATTAAACCATATTTTGCTTTTATATCTTGCATACACATTTCTTTACTAAACTAAACTTCTTGACTAAACTTTTGACAATAACAGGACAATAAACACCAGCTTAATTTGACACAACTGATCAAATCTCAGTCGCAAGTCGTTAAGTAAAATGGTAACTTATAAATGGTTGTAAATATTATAATTCGAGAAATAAGCTTTATATTGAATTAGTATAGATATAATATAGACAGATATATGATTAGTATAGATATAGTAATATTTTAAATTATATAAAATATGTAGCTGGAGCCAGGGTGTGAAGTGATGTGTTCCACAGGGGTCTGTTTTAGGTTTTTAGACCCCTCCTGTGGAACATAGGGTACGACTGGGCCCTTCGAGCTAATTTTCGGCTTCGAGCTGATAGTCGGGGGGCGAACTTTCAAGAGGCGGCGCGCCTGGCCACCAAGGGAGTTTCTCTGGTGGTCGAGCGCATTGAGGCGCTGGGCTTACGGGTGGCCCTGGATAAGACGGAGGCCTTCTTATGTCATGGGCCTCGACGTGGTCCTCTCCCAGCCACCTCTATCGCTGTCAACTCAGTCCTCGTACCGGTTCAGGCCCAGATAAAGTACCTGGGCCTGAACCCTCCTATCTCAGACGCGAAGTGGCACACCGTGTGGTTTTAGTCGGTTCGATTCCCACCACCCCGCCGCAAACCCCTGGTGGGGTGACGGCCCGAGGAGATTCCACATGTTTAAAAAAACAGGGTGTGAACTGATCGAATCCTTGTGGTGTTTATTAAACACTACTGGTCTATGACATCGAGTAAACAAAACAAGTGAGTGACAAAAAGGTAAATTTCGTACTGTACTCTACTATGTTATTAACTAATTATGAATTCATATTTAGAATACCTGTCCTATAGACTATAGCAACTGCTACTACTGGCATGCATAAGTTTTTTATAAGCGATAATTAAGGTGTCCTATATCAATATTATTAAAATAAACATCAATACTGAATGCTAAAATTACACTTAAAAAGTGTCTTATATTAGATGTAACCATAAAAAGAACTGCCAACTTGGATAAAACAAATAGTTATTTTATTTCTAAGTTCACATTTGTAAATATGCCATTATAATACCTTGTTTGCGATCCAGTTTATCAAAAAAAAAAAACTTGACAACTAGTTCTTTAAGATTAGTTCATCTCCAAATGTTTAAACTCTTTTCTCCTTCTATAAAATATCAATTAATTTATTACAAGACATAAGTTTATATTTTTAAGTTTCTTAATGGTTCATAGTATTTTTCTATTAGATTTCCATATATTAACAAATGTTTCTGTTGTAAATAGCCATAATATTCATATTTATCAATCTGACATAGGTTCCTTCGTCGTTTAAATATGCATTGAGTAATCGATGAGCATAATTAATGCATAGCGTTTCCGTTAGGAAAGGAAAGATGATGTCAAAAACAGGTTTATTTACTCTCGTTCTCGATAGCGGGTTAATCTGAGGCCCACGGGTGACACCGATATAAATAAGATGGAAGTATACTCTTCAACACAAACAAGCGTCGCTTGTTGCCCCAGACACAACTTCACCTCAGTAGCCAGCGATTAGCTAATCACAATGGCTGCTTTTGTGAGTATCAATTACTTAAAAATATTAAGTGAAGAGTAATCAAACACGGAGAATAATCTCTACCTTTTTTACCTTTTCAGATAAAATTGATATGCTTAGCCATTCTAGTGGGTCACAGCTATGCCGGATACCTCCATGGAAACCATCATCACCTTCCCTCATCATCCAGTTCTTTGCACTCGTCTAGTTTTTCACCAAGTAGCTTTCCAACTGGATCTCTACCTTCTGCAACATACTCTGGGTCTGGTCTGATTGGCGGAGGATCATCTTATGGAGACATTATATCACATGGGTCAGCCATTTCGCACGGACCAATTGTATCGCATGGGTCTTCCATCTCACATGGGCCCATAATTTCTCATGGATCTGACATCTCACATGGTCCCATCATTTCTCACAGTCATGGTGATATTTTGGATCACGGTGTGTCTAGTGGTGGATTTAACGGTTTTAGTGGGTTGGGTAGTACTGACCTTGGTGGCGGTCATATTACAGGACCTGCGTTTAGTGGCTCAGCCATCGGTGGATCTGCATTCGGAGGATCGACTCTCGGTGGATCTTCCTTTGACGGATCTTCCATTAGTGGTGGAAGTTTTGGGCAAATCGCCTCTGGTGGTGAGGCTCCTCTTCCAGGCCGTAAAGCTCCTGTGATCGACGAAATTCATACCCTTGCCAACAGTAACGGCGCTCCAACTCAGTACCGCTACCGCGACCAGCCTTATCAGGTTGTACGGGAAGTAACTCATAGAGTGCCTCAGCCTGTACCAGTCCCAGTTCGCCAGACCGTTCAAATCCCTGTGCCACAGCCCTATCCGGTCCAGGTACCAGTCGTAAAGAACGTGCCTGTGCCAGTCGTCAAGATCCAACACGTTAAAGTAGATAAGCCAGTCCCCTACCCCGTAGAAAAAATCGTCAAATTCCCAGTAGAAAAGGTTGTACACGTGCACGTCGACCGTCCAGTTCCAGTTGAGAAGATCGTTGAAGTGCCGGTAGTCAAACTGGTCAAGGTGCCCGTTCCAGTTGTAAAAGAATATCCTGTACATCACATCAAGACAGTCCACCACAAAGCTGTCAGCCATGACCACCACCATAGCCATGGACATGGCTACGGTCACGGTCATAGCCACAGCCACGGTTGGTCTAGCTGGTAACTCCGTGAACACAAAAGGTGACCAAAGAATTTCACATACTGTACATAAATTCATCACCTAGTCCACTCCTTTGTAAGTAGAATCGCTTCATAGCTCATCGTGAGGCTGCAATTTAGGGTGATAACTAAGTCATTAATTTAAGTGAATATACTGTGTGTATATTTTGATATTGCTTTGTAAATAGTAATATAATACTAATTAAAACAAGTACGTAAAGAACAATATTTTTATTTTATAAACCCCACAAAACGAAAAATATTCCACAACGATCAAGGTTTATGGTAAAAAGAAATACTATCAATAAGAACTGCTAATACTTTAGTTAGTTCTTTAATAAGCACAGTTACTGCTTAGATAATAATTTCCTTTTAATGATAGAACTTCAATCAGCCTACGTACTCCATTCTTCATCCGATAATTTGTCAACGTTAGAGTTGGAACACTATCATTGTTATAAATGGGTGAATATATTTATATACCATGTACCTCCTTTTATGAAATGATTTGAGCAAAATGGTGGTTGATAAAAGTAAATATATGATTTATTAATAAAAAGAAAACTTACTTTATAAAAGACGGCACAATGTTATATACCTAAATGATTTCAGTAAAGCGATTTAAAGGAATTGAAATTATTTGAGACTGGACGTATTTATCAGAGCACTATGGTATTTACAATTCTAAGGTACTTAAGTGTATCTAAAGACGAGCCCAATAAAAAAAAAACACTAAGCATAAAGTGGATTATTTTTTATATTACTTTTAATTTCTTGGTAAATGTTAATCTATAATATAATTTGTGTCATGTATGCCATTATTTAACATACACGATAATGTAAATGGCCTGCAGAGAAGAAGCGCTAAATAAAACTAAACAGTACACGAAAGTACATTAATTTAATCTAAACGATTAAAATACGTGATTGTGTCATAATGGTAGTGAACTTGCTTGCGTATTTGACATGTTGTTTTCGTATTCATAATGGGTAATGCTTGCCTAATTTAAGTATTTCACTGATGCTGCACCGCCAACAACTTTATAAAGCGCAAGTCTGGCTGCATATGGAATAGCTCAATGCCCGGAAACGCACTTATGATGACTCTCGAGTTGCAGGTATCGATACGCGACGGTAGTCACTTACCATTAGTAGATCTGTATGCTCATTTTCCCCAAATCATAAAAAAAGATAACTTTACTCTAATATCTGTAAATGTGCTTAACGTCCTGCATTGATTTCCGAAGGATGTTATTTATTTAAATAATTTTCTGCCAACCAATTATAATATATGAATTCTCATTATCAACACTGACTCTGGAAATCTCTTCGTAGACGTGATCGTTCCATATATTCCGATCGTTCCGTACGTGGGCTGAAAATGTACTCGTAGCTAATGAAATATAAGTTCAATGTGTATTGCTTTTTCTTAGCGCAATGTACTCTAAATAATCACAAATGATATAAAATACACCTATTTTATATAATTTGTGTTGTTAATTAACTATTCTACAACACAAGTAATTTACTAAAAATAAGTTATTTATGTTTAAGCTGAAAATGACTGTGATTACATTTATTTGAAAATGACTGTGGTTATTTTCAAGACACGAAACGTTAACTGCTAAAATTGGCTTTTTTTAAGGTATCCTGATATTTGGACTAGGATAGCAATTTATCTTCGCTTCTCCTCGCTTTCTGTTGTCATATTTACAAAATTCACGTACTCATTCCGTATGTCAAAAAGTAATTGAAACGCTGAAAAGGAAAACTAATAGTTATCTGTCTGTGTATAATTCCATTCATATTATACACACAAAAGTTTGTGTGGATGGAAGAATAGAAATTTGTTATTCAATCAAGCTAGAACAATTAAGCGGATCTGGAAGAAGTTTGGCACTTACAGGGATTATAGTTTAGAACCGTACATAGCCTAAATTGACTGACCTGTTGGGTTGGTGGTTAGTGACCCTGACTGCTAAGACGGAGGTCGTGGGTTCGATTCCCACCCTTAGACAAATAACTGTATAATGAGCACCATCATTTATTCTGTGTCTTGGTGTAATTTATCTATAATATGTATGTATTATGAAATATATAGGTATGTTTATCAGCAGTCTTGATAGACAAAGTTAACACTAACGCGAGTAAAGTCGCGGGTTAAAGCTAACATATCTATAAATAGCATATATCACTGTTACTTTATTTTCCACTACCATCTAGAGCGTAGGTTGCCATTGGTTTCCGACGCACCCAAGAAATTAATAAATTGTCATCATTACATCATGCCTGCTGTGAATCACTTAAAAGTGAAATCTCACCTAAATATTAATAGTCAAGGTGTCGGTTACAAATTAAATAAATATTAGAAGTTTCTCGTAAAATACCGGGATTGATTTATGGCAGGATACAATGTGTGTTTAGACGTTAAGATTTTCAAATACAACAAAGAATATAACTTTTTCAGATTTAAGTTCATTTTTTCGCTAAGATTTTTCTTCTGAAGATCAATTTAGGCTTCTAATTTTATTTTTCTTTCTATTTCTAAAAAAAGACCACTCCCGCATTAAGAATCCATCCGTGCAGTCCGAGCAAACCACGCAGGACAACAGCACTACAAAGAGAAGGAAAACTTGGAACAAACCCCGTACCAACCCGTCGGGCCAGCGATGTATAGTAGGCTAAAACCTCCTTACTAAGGAGAGGCCTATGTCCAGCAGTGGACCATTATAGGATGTTGATGATGATGATGATTAATAAAAATAGCAATTATAAGTGTTTCCTTTCAAGGTGTGATGGAGAAGTGGAATACATGTCACGCCACATTTGAATCCTCCCCTCAATCACACAACTTTGTTTTATCGCAATTGGAATAAAATTTTAGAAATAAATATTTATTTTATTTAGCTTTGATGAATAACGTCGTTAATAAATTAACACAGAGGGAGTTTTCTATAAATATCTGACTAGGACGGGGTACCAGGGTCTTAGACGGGGCACTGCCTAACAGAAAGGCTTGTTTTTTTTTCAAGATGGTCTTAATATTTTTTGTCAAATTTGAGAGTAACTGCAAGATCTTGAGAAAATTTATTTTAACATGCAACCGGCTACTAAGAGTTAACTAAGTATATACAAAATGACATAGTCGCAGTGCGGAATCTAAAAACACGTTTCTGTACAATTTACAGTCATAAATGTAATCTGCAGACTGCACGGATGGCGTAGTGGTTTAAGCGGTCGCCACGCCGCTTACTACTACACCGAGTGTTGTGGGTTCAAACCCCACATGGGACGACACTTTGTGTGATCCACAAATTGTTGTTCTGAGTCTGGGTGTTATTTGTGTCCGTTTCATGCATGTTTGTGAAGTCCTCGAGACACAAGATAAATTCCTAATGCGGGAGTTGTCTTTATTAAAAATAGAAAGAAAATCAAATGAAACAAATTGTAACTATAAAAAGAAATCACTTAATTATCTAGATTTTCAAGGTTAAAAAATGTAACAATATTATAAAATAAAGTTATTCATTTATAAAGAAGATCCGTTTGTGTTTTTTTTTCTAATGTACCTGGTTATAAAATTATAAAAAGTGGGCCAGTTGTTTTTATGTCACCATTATGTAAAGCGTCAAACCGGAACCAGATGTTTAAAATCGATCTCTGCCTTTGACGAGTAGATACGTTGATTATAACACATTACCATCAAAATTCCTACTAAACAGCGGAATAAATTAGAAATGAATGATTGCAATATGATAATAAATGTTTATTGAGAAACAGGGATCACCATTTTGCGTAATAGTCACCTAACCTCAAAACGACTGAGAAAAAGATGATCTTATAATTGTCAACTATTGAGATAACAAGCGAATAAGACAAGGAATGTTAAATGAGATAAACTCATGTTGTTATTGTTATTAGCTTAGTATTGCTTTCTAGTGACAATACTAAGCTGCCTGCACAAGACAGATGTTCTGCTAAGACATTCTGTCTAACTCAAACTCTCTTCATTTCATAAAAAAATTGAAATTGTTTAAAATCGTCTTTTATGTAGACTCGAAAGTCGTAGATCAACACACACAATTGTAACAATCTCTGTTGTATCAAGTAGTAAGCAGATAAATTTAATAAAAATTAAACTTATACAAAATCTATGATATGCCTGTGCCGATCTACAACCGCCATGAGAAGAAAGGGTAAACAAACTCATGGCCCCTCTTTTGCAATTCACAGATAGATACAATACCATTATTAAATATACTACAACTTTGTTTTGATGTGTGCCAGTATGTCCTTTATTATTGACTAAAAGGTAAAAAGACGAAGAAGAAGAAGAAGAGAAAACACGATTAAGAAAAAAAAACGAATAAAAGAGAAAATGAAGTGAAACATAAAAAGTAGAAAATAATGATAACAATAATAAACACACTAGCCCATACCAAATTTTTACTTAAGAAATAGCCTGCGCTAATTAATCCTTAGCATTTTTGTCTTCTATGTAATCCACAATTGAGTAATAGGCCCTCTGGCAAAAACCACGTTTTATTGCGGATTTAAATTTGTGAATACAAGACACATTAAGTCTTGAATATTATTTGGGATTTTATTATAAAATCGGACACATTGACCTCGAAAAGACTTGATTATCTTTTGCAGCCTAGAGGCTATTCTATTTCTGGTATTTTTTTTTCTTGTTTTTATGAACAAATATTTCATTTTCATATATATATTGACTTGGCACTATCATTATGTTTTTCTGTTTAAATTTCTGCCACAATGAACAACGATTGCTTAAATTAGCTCTCTATTGCAATACAAAAATAGTTTGAATGTCGGCAGCATTCCTCCATAGTAGAATACCGTACGACATTATGCTATGAAAATAACTGAAGTAAACAAGTCGTGTTGTATGAACATCAGTTAACTCTCGAATTTTTCTTACTGCTTATGCTGCTGAGCTGAGTCTACTCGATAACATATCAATATGTGGGCCCCGCTGTAGCTTAGAATCTAGTGTTATACCTAAAAATATCATAGTGTCCACAAGGTCTAACCCGACATCCTTAATCATCACAGTAGTTTTCACTGGTTTGAAGTTTGGCATAGTGAAACGTATACATTTAGTTTTTTGTTCATTTAAAAGCAAATTGCTGACGTTAAACCAACTTTCGAAATGGCGCTGTTTACGTCTGTGAAATTAGGAAGTGTCCGTTTTAGTCTCAATAATAGTGATGTATCATCTACAAATAACACAATCTCGAGATTGTCCTTGACAAGGACCAAAGGACCAAAAAAGGACCGAGAATAGAACCTTGTGGAATGCCCATTTCTACCACAGAAGCTGGAGACCGCTCACCATTAATATCAACTTTTTGAATCCTATTATATAGATATAAAGCAAGAAGTTCCAGTGCTTTATTTTTGATATCATAGTGCTGTAATTTCCTGATCAGCGTCATAGAACCCAATACAGTAACTGCAGCAAAAGACGATACTTTCATCATTATCTTAGAATTTTTTAAAGTTACTTAAGCTACATAGAAAAGAAATCGTTCGAATGTACACAAATATTGAGATATGGAACATTTATGATACCGCCACAATTTTAAAACTTATTAATGCATTTTCTAAATTTTTGAATATTTTAAATAATTATTGGTCTTATTAGTCTTTTTATAACACAATATATTTTTAAAATTTAATAATATATACATGTTGTCTTTGCACTTTTGTATATAAGCTTTAAATATTCCACTTCAGTGCGCAAATTTGCCTCTTTGGTTACAATGTTTAAAACATTTACAAAGAAGCTTCAGGAACGCGCAAATTAAAAGGGTAGATAAATGGCTATATAAATGTCATAACTTATATCTCTATTACACATTATCCACATATGTAACTATTTCACACAGTCGGGTTCGAATGACGAAAGCTTTGAAATGTTACTCAATTTTTATAACAGGACAGAAAACGACCCTTGAGTCATATCCTTTTGGGTTATGTCAGTATCTTTACTTAGTATGTATGTGTCTTGGAACCGAATCTTTCTTCGAACGTGATTTTGATCCACTACAAAACGTCAAATTGAATTGAAACCTCGCACACTTATCAAGAACCGATGACAATACAATAAGATATAAATACGGTAGTGTCTTTTATTACGAGTATGTTGTTATGAATGGTTAAAATATTTTTTTTTGTGTTAGACAAGAAAATTACTAAAGTGTGAACCACTTGCTAGTATTCTAAAAAAAATGCCTGTTAGTTTGGTCATAATCTAAATATTTCGTAGTTTTACGTAAAGTAAACTAACTACTCGTACTGTGCACTCATATTCACATTCTATCTTTCATTATTTTATATAAGGGAACTCGTATAAGATAATTATCTTATTTTTTTATACAAAATAAAAAAATTGTAAAAAAAATATGTCTACATGGTAAAAATATATGTTCATGCACACATATACATCAAGCTATCTACATAGGTATTATACTTAAACTATCGTCACGATTAGAGATAATATTGTTTTCCGTTCATAACAACATTTATTTATTTGGGTTAGAGCCTTTTTTCTATCTATAATTAAATAATATTTAATAATATTCTAATTTCTATTTCTATTTATCAGATTCCTTATAATATTCCTCATGATTTGTAGTAACAAATAACGATTTATTATTCTATTATTGTAATTTTTGATTACCACGGAGCCTTGATGTGTAGCAATGAAATTGTGACAGATGCTATTCAAAGGCTTTAGTTTTCCTTGCATAATCAAAGAAAACTGAATCGTAACAAGATCATTCATATTAACATAAATATGTATATTATTATTACCATCAGTGACGCATAGGATGTCGCGATGTCCATTTCAAATTAACTTAAATATTCATAGATTTTATTGGATAGAGCGAGATGTATAAATATGTGCGGCCGTCCGATGTCACAGTATAACCAACCGACACTCGGAAGGGTCAACAACTACCACATTTTGGCTTGAAAGCGGTTAGCTAAAAGCCATGGCATTTGTTGTAAGTTTATGCTATGATCACAAATACACAATCCATGTACCAATTAACAATACTATGTTCTAAACATCTCTTTATTTGTTACAGTTTAAAGTACTCTTCGTGTCAGCGCTAGCGTATAGTACACACGCTGGATACCTATCCGGCCACCATTCCAGTCATGACAGTCATTACAGTCATCACGACTCATTTTTGTCATCAGCTTTACAATCTCCGTCGGCTTCTTTTGGATCACCCTCTCATACTTATGGAGTACCAGCTTCATCACAAATCCATCACCACAGTTCTGGACCTGGTGTGTCTGTTGAAGAGACAGTAGTTAACGACGATGGCCCAGTCTTAGCTGGCGCATCCCTCCCTGGTAGTAGCTATCCTGGATTATATGACAATTCAAATGGATATGGTAATGGCGGAATTAGCTCTGGACCTGGGTCTTCTTATGGTGTCCCTTCACAAAGTGGTGTTTCGGGGCCTGGTTTAATCAACGGACCTGGACTAGGGCTTCCTTCTTCTGATTATTCTGCTCCTAGCGCATCCGGTGGGCCCTACTCAGAGGGTAGCCTTCTCCTTGACTCAACATTACCTGGATCTGGCGGACAAGTTGTCGGTAACACTATTGGAGCACCAAGGGTGATTGGTACTACTGTTTCCGTTGGAAGACCGCAGGCTTCTGCTACAAGATACGAATTGCAATCTGTTGTTCAGAATGTCGTGCGTCGTATTCCAGTTGAGGTGGTTCGCCACATTCAGGTAGCTGTACCCCATCCAGTCCCTGTGCCAGTTCGCGAGGAAGTAAAGGTACCTGTTCCTCAACCCTACCCTGTGCATGTTGATGTCGTCAAACATGTTCCATACCCTGTATATAAAACTCAGCATGTTGAAGTAGAGAGGCCAGTCCCATATGAGGTTGTAAAACAGGTCCCGGTTGAAGTCATCAGAAAGGTTCATGTACCCGTGGATAGGCCATATGAAGTGATCAAGAAAATCCACGTGCCCGTTGAGAAGCATGTTGAGGTCCCAGTAGCTGTTTGGAAGCCGTATCCGGTCCATGTCATCAAGCACGTCACCCACTACAAGAAAAAGAGTTGTTGCTGGTAAAGCAACTTCTAAACTTCAATTCTAGCTGGAACCACACCAGCACAAGTCGTGATCATACCAAATAGTCAATAGAGTTGTAAATACTTTGATAGTCATTAGTTTGTACATATCACATAATATATGAAATATAAAATGTATTGTTCTACACTGTATTTATTATAATTCACTTACTCCTCCACCAGAACTTTTTTAACCTTTCATTAAAAGTAAGTGTTGTTTATAATAAATTGATATGAAAGAAGTTAAAAATATGCTATGATAGACAATAAAAAAGAGTAAATGTACAAACCAGTATTATTTAGTTCGGCTTTCTTGGAAAATTGGAACAGTAGTATCTGAGATGACTCCGAATATATAAACTCACAAACTTTACCTCTTTATAATACTAGCTGGTACCCGCGACTTCGATCGCGTGGAATTTGAAAAGCGCTGCCTTAGTGGTGTAGTACGGTACGCGACTGCAGTCCATAAGGCCTCGGCTTCGATGCCTGGACCGGGCAAAATTTTATAGGGTTTTTCTGAGAGGAAAAAAAGCCTAAGTTACTCCTTAGTATAATACACATCTATACTAATATTATAAAGCTGAAGAGTTTGTTTGTTTGTTTGTTTGTTTGTTTGAACGCGCTAATCTCAGGAACTACTGGTCCGATTTGAAAAATTCTTTCAGTGTTAGATAGCCCATTTATCGAGGAAGGCTATAGGCTATATATCATCACGCTACGACCAATAGGAGCGGAGCACCAATGAAGAATGTTTCCAAAACGGAGAAAATTTACTACTATTGAGAAGCAGACGAAGTTGCGCGGTTCAGCTAGTATATAATACGCATAAACAGATACACAGACAGACAAAATCTATATAAACTGTTTTTTTAGGCATAGGCATCGTGCAAATAACGTGCGGAAAAACTACTGTGATTTGACATAAAATGAACGCGATACGGTGGCGATTTATTTAAACATAATTTTACCACAGAAATATTTCAGGCCCTTTAGTAATTCTTTCGTCACTTTTACCCAAATGAGTGAGGTTACCGGAGCCTAAGTCCCTTCCTTCTAATTCTAGGGAGAGCGGGGTACTCAAAGGGTGACAACACAGCGCACAGCGGTATTCAATCACAGATTTTTTTTTGCGTGAATTTTTTTTCGCCAGTGCGGATAGTCCTATATAGATCCCTCGTGTGTCACAGAATTTTCCGAAAAAAAACGTGCTTTGAAATATCGCTGTGCGGACGGGCCCTTAATATTCACTTAAATTAGGTGTCCGGTCTGTATTTGTCAGCTTTTTTTTTTTTTTTTCCGTGCGGCAATCCCCTTGGATACCACCTGTAGGTGGCATGTCGGACTCGAACCGACTAAAACCGCACGCCGTCTCGCCTACTAATAGCCGGGTGTATTTGTCCCCTAAAAAATTATAAAAAATTAAATGTAGACAAACATAGCTATTTCCGACGGTTCTGTCCTGGTGAATGTAAATTAGGTAAATCAAATCATTATAACTCGGAAACACGTTTTGTGGCTGAAACCTACTTTGTAGCCTTGACAATGACTAAGCAATGTTTCATATCAAATATTGCCTAAAAAAAAATAAGTTAGGAAGAATAAAATTAAGTTAAATAACAATTAGTTCGATTATGTATCAGTGTAATTGACTTAAACAATTTTGATCACAGCAAATTGAAATCATAATATACCTATTACAGAATAACCTAGTTCATTTTTAATGTGAATGTCATGGCAATGTCTCCTGTACATAATATAATACAGTGTCACCACCCCTATTCATCCCGTGGGTGTCGTAAGAGCCGACTAGGGGAGCAAACTGCTCAGGACAACATCACTGCAAAGAGAAGGAAAGCTTGACACAAACCGTCTGGCCAGCGTGGTATAGTAGGCCAAAACCTCCTTTCCAAGGAGGGGCCTTTGTCCAGCAGCGGACTATTAAAGGCTGTTGATGAATGTCTCCGGTCTCTTAAACGTATTGTAGATTACTATTTGGTACATGAAAAAATAAAACAATGTATATACACTGGTATTATTTTTGTTTATATGTATTATAATTTTCACTGGAAAATGATAATACATATCAACATAAATAAATCACTTATTAAGGTCAAGACTCTCGAAATTAAATAAATCCTTCGGTCACTTAACTTTTTAACAGGTTATTTTCGTTTTCTTTTTTCGATTTACCTTTTTTTTCATAATATTTTAGCCAGAGGTTGCTTGTTCGATTCCTATCCGGGACAACTATCCTAGGGTGGGAACCGTGATCTTTTGTTTTGTGTCTGGATTTAATTTATCTATATTTTATAAGTATTTTATCAGATCGACAACATATTAGTATTAGTCAGTTCTGACTCTGCCTAATTTGGAGCCAGAAGAGAGTTAATATATCAAGTGAACTTTAGTTAACACAAGTGTAAGTGTTAGTTTCTTACAAGCGTCTTATCTTGTGAGCTCTATCATCAATTTTACACAATCTGACTCTCGGTTAGGAATCTCACCAAACTAAAATGAAGCTTAATATGTATAAAACACTAGCTGACCCGTGAAACTTTGTCTACGTCTCTAAAAAGGAAAAAAAGTTACCCGTTTTTGCAGCATTTAACCTTCCTCGACAATTGGACTATCCAACAATTAAATATTTTTTTAATTCGAACCAGTAGTTCTTACTATTAGCGCGTTCAACCAATTAAATAACCTCAGCTTTATAATAGTAGTATTAGCATAGATTACGGAAATTGATTTTAGTTTTTTTTTTTATGTAATTTAGTATCTCTTGCTAAGTTTAGTCACGAAATAAATTTCTTAACGCGCCGATTAATATTTGACCACCAACAAATATGTCGATCTTATGTCATAGTGACAATATTTATTTGCATTTTTTAAATGTAAAAACACGATAATTCGAATACTCTGTATATATGTTATCGATTTGAAATCCTCATTTAATAATGTTCTATAATTTGAAGAGATCCGAGTTATTCGTACAGACAACGGCATTAATTGTTTGACATGAAGGATCTTTTTGTATCGGAAAATAAAAATGTTATGTTTACAATATTCCTCGCATCCATTCGGTATTTTCTCACAAATGGTTTTTGTGGTTTATATGACAAACTATGGGTTTTTGTTGCAAAAAAAATTCTCTACAACTTTGGTCAAGTAACTTTTACTTATAGAACCAAAAAAAAATATCCTTAACGATCTTTGTGATGGATTAATATTTATGTATAGTTATGAATACTGGAGAATAGTATTCGTTTCGCAGCGCTGTAAAACCTTAATTATTGAATAACATTAAAGTGTTAATCTGTTGTTTATAGACTTTAAACAATCTATCTAGACACGAATGCCAGACATCTCGTTCGATATTTATGTAAGTATTTTAATTTCCATAAACCAGTAATATACTAGTTCTACGATTAGTTAAATATTACACAGACTTTAAATATATACACTTGTGTTATAGATTTGCAGTTTTGTCGTAATATGTTGAATATTGGACTAGTTTCTAATAAAAGTAGTTCTACCGTTAATGTCATAGTAATGCTTTTTTTGTGTAATCTATTATACCGAGATTATTATTATTTATTGCTTAAATATAAAAGTTTTTTTAACAAAGTTTTTTGTTAACAATAAAATACTATAAAATGAGAAAATTGTTTTTAAATTTTTTAGGTAACATTTTTCCATACGAAGAAGGATGGAAAGAGCCGTTTTCTGTTGCAATTGGAACAAAAATATGTTATGCCAGTTATGTTTTGCTAAGTGACTGTAATGATATTATACTATAGAACCGATAACTCACTACCGTCCGGAGGGTCGAGCTCGTGTTGAAGCTAAGGCAACATAAAAAAATCATTTCAGAACATCATCAAGTAGTGTGTAAAAAAATACTTGGATTATGCATATTGCAACATATGTAAAAGCAATATTAAGTTATCATAGATTCAATCAACTGACGATTGTCAAAGAGTTCTAAAGACTTCGACATAGAATGGCGCAAATGTACCTTAACAAGCAATTTATATTTTATATCTTTCATCACCATATCATATTTAATTACAAAAAATGTGTTTAGCCATTGAAGTGTCAATCATCTGAAATGAAGATATATATAAAAGGAGAGAAATAAATTATAACGAGTCATTTGTAAACATCTGTTTGCATACGATTCGAACTACTTGTGTGCCGTGGTTTTCTAACATAGAAAACATTGAATATTTGTGATGCAGTGATACAAACTCAAGTAATTATGGTACCTAAATAAGCTTTTCAGCTCGTCAAAACCCTTTATTTTTGGGCACCGTAGAGTTTTGGAAGTAAAGATGATGCAGAGTTTTCTGAACGCCGTGTGTCCAAATGACTAAATTACTGACCTCATTTGGGTTTTTGTCAGAATTAAAACATAGGTACACTTTAGTTCATCGAGCTCTCAACCGTAATTCGAAATTCGAAATAATCATCTGGTCTAAGTTTATTTTGAATCCCAACCTTTGAAAGACATCCAGCATTTTGCTGTGATTGTTGATGACCAGGACATTATAGGAAAAACGAAAGTTTGTGATGTAATGTCTAGTATTTAAATTGATGCCAGCCTTTGCTATTCAAAAAGCTGGATTAAATTATTAATATTCAAAATAATAAAGTCACAAAAATACATACAGGCGGGAAACTCGGCAAAAAATTTAAATAAATTTATTTCGAGAATCAGAAACTTGTATATTTTATATTTATTAAAGTACAAAACGGGTTAATATTGAAATACATATATATATATATGTGCTAAACCGCTGAACCAAATGAAATTTGGCATGGAAAGATAATTTGATTGTTGAGGAGAGCAAATATTTAATAATTAATATTTTAACTAGAAAGATACATAACCTTTCACGTTTGAAATTGACCGCAAGGCATTATGCATGCATCTTTTAAAATATTTTAATTTATATAGTATCTCTTGTATAAAAATGTTGTTCTCTCTGATTTCAGGGCAGACGCGCGAACGCGCTCATAGTATCCGGCTGCTTTAGGTGAATCCATAGCCATGGGGATGTCGGTAAGCGCAAGATTTACTATCAATTTGTTATTCATAAACCATTATTTAATAATTATTCCTTATATAATATTCCTTTCCTTTTTAGGTGTGGTATATGATAGCAACGCTATTTTTAGTTTTAGTAAATGGAGAGATATTCGAGAATATTTCTACTTCAATTTATGACAAACCAGAGACGTCATCTCCAAAGCCTAACCAACAATTTTCAACAACGCAAGAATACGTCTTGTATTTGACTCCCGATCAAGCTCAGGATTTGCAAGCGACTGGAGCTATTGTCAGACCTCTTCCTCAATTGGAAAACGTATTTCAGCAACAACGGCGCCAATTAAGTACTAAAGATAAGACTGAACAAAATTTATCTTCAAATAAAAAATACCAGGTAGATAACAATATTAATGAATTTTATAAAGAATTATTATTACACCAAGATTTGGCAATACAATCGCAGTCGAAAGAGATCCCATCTGTAAAACCCCCTGCGAGGTACAAGTATTCTCCTAAACCACGCCAAGAATATGCATCGTGGTACGTACCTAAAATTAATAATAAAACAAATAATCGTTCAACCGAATATGTGCGTTACCTTCCGAATTACGAAATTGAGACTTTGGAAATGAAACCATACAGTGCTCAACCATTACCTGGCTATTACTTTGAAACACAATCCGAAGTTAAAACATATTCGTATAATGGAGCAAAAGAAAATTTCAAACAATCTGAGGTTCAGAAATCTCAAGAAGCATTAAAATCGATTAAGCTCCAAAGTCCTGAAAAAGTTTCAGAATATCGTTTAATACAGAGATACGAAGACATTCAAAATCCTGCTGAGATTCAGGACCACGAAGAGATTTTTAGGTCAGCTGAGCTTCAAATAGAAGACAAAAATCAAAAAGCTTTTGAAATTCAAAATGAAGAAATTCAAAGACTAGTTGAGGCTCAAAAATTTGAAGAAATAAAAAAATCCCTTGAAAGTTTGAAACTTGATGGGCTTCAATCATCCTTTGGCATACAAAGACATGAAGACATTCAAGAAAATGAACAAATTCAAAGACCTGAAGAAATTCATCCTATAATACAGATCCCAACACGCACCTTCACAATAGAGCGCACGCAAAATCAACAACGTATTAAACTTGATGAAACGTCTGTGACCAATGCCGGACCAGTGACTTTTGAAGATAAAAATAGGAATCGATCAGATGATCAAGAGGCAGAAAAAGTTGAAGCTACTTTTCAGATATCAACACCACTATTGCACGCAAAAGAAGAAAAGTTATCACCTTTAGTTGAAGTCCAAAATCAACATTCATCACTTTCAGTTCAGCAAGATAAAATTAGTGAAAACATTGCTGAACAAAAAGTCCTCATTAATAATGAACGAGCCATACAAACCAAACTTCAGCAAATTACAGAATCAAGCACTCACGATACCGAGAAATTCGCCACCGAACTTGATAAATTAAAGAAAAATTTAGGGAAACAAAATATTTTGGCTGAAAAGATAGCGACTCAGAGGGTTTCGAAAAAACCTCAAGGTATAGTTAAGGAAGAACTCGCTTTACAGAGGCATCGTCCTCTAGAATTAGAGCATAAACTTGAACATTTACCGGTAATTATACCTCGACCGTACCCTGTATCATGGGGAATTTCACATCCAATACCAGTACCAGTACTTCAATTTGAAAAAGATGAAAATAAAAAGGTTTTACCCATTGATGTTAACGACGAGATTTCAATTCATGGATCTAAGAATTATTATCGAACAGTAAGCACACCATTTGCAGCACAGGAGCAGATTTCCGGTGACGTAAAACACGACATACCATTTGCATATCGCACTCACGAGCCAGAGAATTTAGCAATTTTACGACATATATGGGAACATTAGGTAAAATACACGCGTATTATGTTGTTATCAATAATTACTTAAAGTAATTGTTTAGATTTATTTACTATTTGGATGTCACTAGCATATAAGTGTTATTGCCCGATTATTTGCAATTTGCAGTTTAGGATCCTGATTTGAGATTTTATAGTCTTAGAAACTAAGCCCGCAAAGTTTTTTAAAATTATTGATTTGAAGCTTTCACATCAACAGCCTTTAATAGTCTACTGCTGGTCAGACTACAGGCTTGGTATAGGGTTTGTGTCGAGTTTTTCTTCTCTTTGAACAGCTGTTGTCCTGCGTAGTCTGCTCCTATAGTCGGCTCTTACGACACTCACGGGATGACTAAGGGTAGTGACACTCCGTATTTCTAATCCCTCACCACACGGATATTTGAAGCTTTATCTTTTAAAATTTGGTGAATGTGCAATATTAGTAAAGTAATATTTTCTTAAAAATCATGAAAAACTTTAGTTAAAGATAACTTGGTTAAAATCTAATTAAAATTTGCTTGACTCTATACATCAACGCCTACGTAAGTCTGTTTGCATAGCCATATTAAAATTTTGCTATTTTATGTTTATAAGGCGTTTATGAAATAATATTGTATTGTAGTTAAAGTAGACAGAATTTTATATTTACAGGAAACGATCTGTATGATATTTATATACGTAATGTTCCCAGAGGTTACTTTTTTGCAATTGTGTCAGTTTTGATTTTGTCAGCCGACTTTAGTAAATAATAATTCCTATGTACAACCACAAGTGTATACTACTTTCCAAAAAAATATAGTGGATTTTACAAAACATATACCTATGTCTGTTGATTTCAAAGTCTCCTGGTTATTAATAATATGAATGAAAAATAAAGCACTTACATGCATTTGCTGAGGTTTAATTTTACGGAATTAATATCAAAAAGGCTGTTTTGATTAAGAATTTCTTAGTTTTATATCCAGAGATAGTTAACTGAAAAGAGAGGTAAAATTGAAATAAATTTAAAAAATCTATCATCATTTCTATACATAATAATTAAAAAATTTTGGAACGACGAACATTCAACATTAATTCATTTCACTCACTCAGTCTTCCGCAATACATTTAGAATTTGGTTTATCATTGCGATTACTCTTAGAAAGCTAGGCATCTACTAGATTAAAAAATATTTAGAGCAGGCAGATTAAATCTTGCTTTAAAATCACATATTTTGTATTCAGTGTTTTGCTAAAAGCGATTGATTTGAAAATGTTATCGACACAAATACGGGTCATGTATTTCTTGTGCGTAAACTGTAACTGTAAAAATAATAAAAAATCTATGTAAAAAATATATAATAAGTACCCCTAATTAGGTAACATTATAATAGCAATAGTTCTTCCTAGTCTGTTTGAAGTCGGTGCCAAGCCAAATAGGTGCTTGATAAGCTTGGTAGCGCGGCAGCTGCAACAGTCTTCATGCTGCGCAAAACATGCTGAACGAGCTAAAATGGGTTACGCACATCTCCAATGATATTATTAATTTGAATGCTTTATTAAGTTGTTAATAAGTTTGCGCACGAAATTGATCGGGTTGGTTATTGTTTTCTACATTACTTAAATTTCCAAAATTAAGAGTGATCTTTTTTCTTTACATTTGAATGGAACTAAAGGGGAAATATACCCTTCCAAATATAAAAATATTTTTTATAACCGGTTCACAAATGAAAGAGTTTTGAGGTAACAAACATGAAAATAATTGCGTTACAAACATTTTTTTTGTCTAAATGTTTTGTAATATCATATATTACTATTTTGTGCACATATCTCTGTAACCCAACACAAACACCTAACACATTTCTTGAAAAAAAGAACAAGGTCAATACATGATTAGATTTTTTAAAGAGGTATCTTCTAACTCCTAAAGGTCAAGGACCCTTCCATCAACAGTTCAGCAACATGACATAACGACTACTAAACGTTAATACCTATAAAGCTAGTGAAATAAGCTGAAACACGTTGTCGGGGTTGTAAAATTGGAGGGTTTCCCTCGATTCCTCTAGGATCCCATTATCAAATCCTGATTTGGGACTACCTCGGGAGCATACCCTTTCGATTACAAAAATAATCGCGTAACAAACATACAAAAAAAAAAACAGATGAATTGATAACTTCCTCTTTTTTGTTTTACAAGTTGGTTAAAAGTTATCAATCGTTTTTGGATACAATTTGCTGAATCATGATATTTGTGATTGAATAATATAAGTGCACATATACTTATGATTATAGGTATATGCCAATACTCTATGTATGTGCGTTGTACAAGAAAGAAAGAAGAAGTTGATTTATATAAACATAAGAAAGGACTTTAAATAGCTATAAGCCATATTAGGAGTTTATTAAATAAGAAGTATAAGATTCTATTAGGATATTAATGTATAATACAAGGAAAACACTATTAGATGATAAAATCATATCGCTACGTATTACCTTTTATCTCTGCTGATTTATATTTAATTAATGAGAAACTCAATATTGCGCAACAATATAATAATTTAATATGCACATAAAATTTCTTTTTCTATAGGAAGTTGTAAACATCAGTGGACAAATCTTTACATACAAAAACAGAACCAAGAATGTCATGAGACCGAACCGATTTACGAGTACGTTCAATATTAGCTTGTGTGATGTAACCGTATTAAAAGTGTGACCCGAAACTAAAGTGAAATTTATCGTTAACCAAATTATAAACGTTAACTGACCTCGTTGGTAATCTGATTATAATAATATCAGTCTCATAAAAGCTGCTTCACTGCCGAGACTAAGGTCTCATCTTATAGCGAATATACTAGCTTAATATAGCGAAATGTAATATTTTATTACGATTTTCGATGTTCCGATTTTCAAAAGTCGGAATTTCATAATACCTAAGAATCATAATGTCTAATATTAAAATTCACAAAATTAATGCCGTTTCTTCTGCATTCAGACATTCTTTGCAAAGAGGACTGTCTGTCGCATTAATGGTGAATAGTTGTCGGTGGCGACCACGCACCGGCAGACGGAGCGTAGGTGGGCCCCTAGCAAGGTGGTCCAACGACATAGTGAAGGTCACAGGAAACCGTGGATGAGGGCTGCGTAGGACCGATTGTCGTAGAGCGACTTGGGGGATGCTTATTTCGATCAGTAGACGTCTTTCGGTTAAGAAGAGGAAGAAGACCAACCTTAATATATAAAATAAAGATGGGTTAGTTACACATTTAGTAACTCATGATTTCTATGATGTTTAAATTTTTTGGATTGGATCCGCCTAGCTATGGATGAGTATGGATGACGAGCAGAACTGTGACTAAAAATGCATCTGAAACTGCGAGGAACTACGGGTTTTATGTATGAAATGCGAAAGTTACCCGGTTACTACTAGGTTCGAGACCGTCGTAACCACCCCGTTCGTTCGCCATAGGGGTTGTGGAAAGTTGAAAAGGGTCAAAAATTCTAATGTACAAACTTTTACACATGTCAACTTGTCTATCATTTACAAAAGACCATAAGAAACTTAATAATTTTAGTGACATTTAGTTATTACTTAAAAGTTTTCTTTAAAATAGTTTATTTCCTTTTTTTAAACTCGGGATATAGAGTTAATTAGCTCAGGATAAGTATGAGTATTCATATTAATACGCATACTTATCCCATAAAAAAATATTGTACTACATGACATATCTGCTTAACTGTTACGCGTAAATACAAATTATGTGTCACTGAAACATATACTTGTCGTATACTCATAGATAAGTCTTGCATGCCTATATTGAACTGGGAACTTATTACATGCCTATAAATTATTTAGTAAATTGACAATAAAATTTTCACGTAGATCACAAATCTAGGTAGCATAAGTAACAGTTATCGTCTGATATTATTTCCTAGAGTGTAAACTAGAATATCGTGACTCATAAGTAACTGTGAGAAGCAATATCGTGAAATACAGGCCACCAGAAATTCCTTACACAATTTCTTTGCTATACAATATTCTAAGTATATGTTTTATTTTGCAATATGCTAATCAGATCGATCTATGTTATACTGTTCATAATTATTCCACGTTGTTATTATCTTACATAATGAAACTGAACTAGTTAATCATTAACTAACAAAAGCAGCGCCTGTAAGTATTCAGCGTGAAGTTAACTATTAATTTAAAAACCAAATAACATAATGTACAATTTATTTTTAATGATAACTAATGTGTTGCTGTATAATTTTATTAAATAATATAGTACGTGACACGTCTCTTTCTCAATATACCCCATAATCAGTGTACGGTAATTACATGATTCGTCAATGTAACGGTCGACTATTCCTTTCAGCATGGTCTAGTGGAGAAGATCAATATCCACATAATTTGTACACTGTTATGTTCTTACCCTATTAAGTTTCCTTTTCAAATGAAAAACTTGTTGGTTTAATAACAAACTTTTATTAATATCACAATTTCTCTGGGACTCAGTCACGATAGTCACCAATACGCAAAACAAGCGAGAGCATTTATAATAAAACAGTCACACAAACAAGCAGTCGATCAACATGGATATCACCAAGCGAACACTTTATAACACTTATTAGAAGCTTCTGACATTTTTAATTTTTAGACGCGTAATGTCGAGACTCTTACACTATAAAATATACAAATGTCAAACAAAATGTTTTTAGAATTAAATATAAGTCAGGTACATTTTTATTCTATAACATATTGCAACTGCATAACTTATGCTGAATACATATTAGTCTCATGATAGAACTTACATGTACTAATGTCAACAGGCAAGAAATAGACCTTAATATCTTTCAACGGTGAAGTAAACTCCACACATGTATGCCCGTGGTTAATTTTAAACTAAACACAGTTAATAGCTTTCATATTTATAGCCTTCTCCGCCGTCACCGAGCCATTGTCCAGCCTCAGCGTCGTAGTGTCCCTCGGCTTGTGGCTGATGAGATAATTCAGAATAACCCTTTAATCCCTCACCGCCCTCGTAGCCCTCGAAGCCACCGGAAAGCTGATGCTCACCTCCGTGCTCGTAACCTCCGTGCTCGTAGCCTCCTTGTTCGAAGCCACCGGAAAGCTGATGCTCACCTCCGTGTTCGTAGCCTCCGTGCTCGTAGCCTCCTTGTTCGAAGCCACCGTGTTCCAAACCACCCGCAAAATGCTCGGTGTTGTGCCTCTCGTCTTCAAGGACTAGACCACCACCATGCTTGTGCTCAGTCTCAGGGTGGATGAGCTTCAGGTTGGACTCAGACTTTCCCTTTTCCAGAGGGTGCTTTAGCAAATGGCTGTGTTCTTTTTTGACATACACAGGGACAGGGTGGAAGTGCTCGAATTTGATCGACTGATGTGATTTGGCATGTTCATGCTCTATTTGATGATGGTGACCAGACTCGCCAATAGGTGCATAATCGTAATTCGCCTCCGACTGATGTTCGTCATGAATGATGCCGGGGTAAGCGACAACTACGGCCAGGAATCCCAAGAAAATCTGTTGGAAAGAAAAAAAAATGTGTTCAAAATATAGACTGAGTTGTGTCGAATAGTGAACAAAACTGCATATCACAAATAGTGTAAATTTATGTAATCAATATAGGCCTGTCAATTAACAATAATAAATTAGCAGCCTACTGTCTTCAAACCAGTTTGCGATCTTACAAAGACTTATGTAACACAAATAACTTCCTATAAACCAAACTACATATCAATCACATAACAGGAAGAAGTACAGTTAGAGCTGTTTCACTGAATATGTTTATGAGTTAGTGATAAATGTGGCCAAATAATCTGATAGGTATTGTCATCTAATTTAAATATAAGCTAAACCATAAGCGTTGTTACACAGTCCAACCGCGGCAGTATGTACTATAAATGATTTAAACGCGCACTGAATAAACTGTATAGTTTGACACTATGTATCACAGTGGTATAAACACAATTACGCACATGGTACTTCATTGCTGCAACTGATGAGTGGTGCACCTTACTCCACGAGAGGGTAGTGGATAATGCTAGCACTTGTAATTTGCATCGCTTTTATACTCGTTTTCACTCAACAGACGGTGTGTTCGAATGCTCTGTTTGCAGTTACGTGTACACAGACTAACGCATTGTCAGTCGATCGGCGTCTCAATTAGAACAATAGATAGAAATTCGTTGGGAGATTCTTGGAAAATAAGTTTGATGGTAACACTTTAACATATTTTGCCATCATTATCACATAACATCTATTTAACGTATAGTCAATTGTTCGGTAATCAATAGATATGGCCATATTATTTTAATGGATGTTTTACTATCAGTTATTAAACTATATTAGTTATTATATTATCAGTAATTAGGCTATATTATAAAAAAAATCCTCTTTTCAAACGCATATTTGTGAAAATTACTTCAATATTTTTAGAATAGTATTGATTAAAAATACCATTACTGATCGCTATATGTAATACGAGACCGTTTCAATTATTTAATTATGTAAAGTCGATTACAATGAAATGTATTAATATTAAATCATTTTGATGTTAGGTAATTGAGTTGGATAATGTATTTATATTCTCTGCTTTGTTTTATTGTGACATCGGGCATTGGCACAGGTAATAATGCATCATGTGTATATTAGTTGTTAATTTTTCTACGAATCATGTCATGTCCGTTAACACTTCTAAAGACATAACATTAAGCAACGTTTGAGTAGCCTCCATAGGGGGCACCTCTTTATATGATCGACAGTAAATTGTTTGGAGCGACAATACACTTTATTTCTAAGAGTTTAGAAGTTTTTAATACATATTTATTTGTGGTTGGGCCGTAGCTGAGACACTACTTAAGTTTCTAAATATATTACAAGTTTATATTTTGATTATTTAGTATATGATCACGATTTTTCATTTAATTCTAAGATTAGAACTTTTCAGCAATGGGCATTTCAAGTAAAATAACTGTTCTATACCTATAGTATGCAACCTATTGCTATTGCTTAAAGTGCCCTGTCCATACGCCATGTCCCTTTCCTATCATAACCTTTCCTTCGTATCTACCTCTCCTTTCAATATAGATATGGATAGATAGATAGAAAACTCTTTACTGTACAAAAAAAACATAATAAAAAAACAGTATTTTTTTAATTTTAGACTGCACGAAAGGCGCAGATGGTGGGAGTTGTCTTTTTATAAGATAGATACGAGTAAGATTTTTAAGATAGTTTGTATACATTCTTATAAGGCTTTTGATCTAAGGACAGTAAAACAAACAAATTAAAACTTTAAATAAAAAAAGTTGTACTATTTGCGATAGAATCTGTGATCAATATCCTCTAAATTGTATCCATTATTACCCTTAAAAAACCCGGCTGACGGCAATAGGTTTATCCCGTCAAAGGTAAAATGTAAGCGTTTAACCCCTCCTTTTGTGCACCACTTCAGAGATACAGGCGTGTGTCTTTTATAAAAAAAAAAACAAAAAAGGGTGGACATGAATGTATGTAATTATAAAATAATGTTTCTGCTATGTATTCTGATGGCTTTCTCATAAGATACTAATATAATTTCTAAAATTTCTGTTTGCGCATAGTAACGAAGAGATCTTAAGCTCTTAAAAAAATTAAAGACTGTACTCAAGTACAAAAATATTTTTTTGACCTTCCCTTTCTCAAATTATAACCAATTCCCGATATTGTATTATATACTGTTATAATATTACCATAATATTCAGAGCAAGGACAAGATACATTTTCATTTTTGCAAAATCTTTTAAAAGCATCACATGAAAGCTGGTTTCGTAATCGTCTGTATAATAAAATTTAAATGATATTATCATTAATTTTGTATAACAGACAGTTTATAATTAGCGTAGTTTGCATAAATATTTTTACGCTCAGTATTTATAACTTATATCAACAATACCGGAATCTGATGGATTTGTCGGCGATTTCACTACGGAAAGGCTTGTAAACTTGGATCTCGTCTCAGTGGTCAAATAGTACACTTCAACGAGTACAAATATAAAAATTGGTGTCAAATAGTGATCAAATCATCTTTTATACAAAAATGACTGTATGAAAAAATATAAAATTAAAAATGGTGATGACAAAGGTTTAATTAAGTATAACATCTCTCCTTAATAAGTTTGGGTATAACATCTTTCCTTAAAAAGAGGGATTGAAAATGAAAGTACTTCAACGAACTCAAGTATGTAATTTGCTTTTCCAGTTTCATGGGAGCGAGAGAATGACAAGTGATCAAATTGTACACACACTATACAAAAATACCTTTTTTAAACAACGTTCCTCATATACTTATTTCATATCATATTGTCTTACATGACAGATGACAGATGAAATAATACTTGCTGATTGGCAAGCAGAAAGTTAATTTAACCCAACAACAAATTGTGTTTTTAAATTGAGGAGCAGAATAGCACACATCGGAGTGGCAGTTCTCTCGCTCGATAACCTGATTGCGGCTATCGTACGGAGCGAGAGTGCGTGGAACTCTGCCGTCTCCTTCTGCGAGCAAGTTATGCTTGCGAAGGAGATGGCGGAGCGGGACCGGGAGGGTTAGACTAACAACAAATTGTGTTTTAAATTGAGGAGCAGAATAGCACACATCGGAGTGGCAGTTCTCTCGCTCGATAACCTGATTGCGGCTATCGTACGGAGCGAGAGTGCGTGGAACTCTGCCGTCTCCTTCTGCGAGCAAGTTATGCTTGCGAAGGAGATGGCGGAGCGGGACCGGGAGGGGTTTAGAACTCTCCCGGCCTTACGACTGGAAGAGTGGTTACAAACCCAGGCCAACAGTTCAATAGGTAATAAAATATTACTACCTTTTTGCCATTCAGTACTGTACAATCTTATACGCACGTCAATAACGACTTACAAAGCAACGTGAGAGTTGTTTGAGTCACACGTAAAGCTGAAAGTGAAAACTGACTTAGTTTTTTTTATATCGTAGAATGAAATATGAACGTATTATTTTAAGTGTAACAATTAGTTGATTGCATGCGACGTAATCACTGGTACTTGCAAAAGTACACAAATATTTGATTCTAGCTTTTGCCTGCTGCTCCTCCCTTGTGTATGTCGGTTGGCGCAGTAAAAAGCATATGCCCTTCCTCAAAAATCAAACTGTCTTCATACCAAATTTCATCTAAATCGTATTAACGGTTATTGATTTTTCGAATAAACTTCTTCTCCTGAGAGGATGATTTCTGGAATAAACACTATCCTATGTCCTTTCCTGGGACTCAAACTATCTCTATACCTAATTTCATCTAAATCGATTCAGTGGTTTAATTCGCATTTATAATATTAGTATGGATAGTTTTTGCTGTTTTGCAAATATGTGTATTTACACAACCCGTGTATGTATCGTGATTATATTAAATAATAGGTAATTTGTATTTTTAGCCAAGATGCTACGGTTTGATACGCATCTTAAGGTTTAATGATACATAGACTCACGACTTTATCTCCGAAAGGCTAGGTAGAGGCATATCAAACATATACATTCAGAAAATCATAATTTAATCCCGTTCTAGGAAGGATATTTTAGAATCAAAGATTAAAACAACCGTGGGAAAGCTATTCTTCGGCACGTATGGGCTGGCTCAACAAAAACTGGAGTTGAGCAATTCTCTCTTTTAATCCTATGCTCAAATTGCAGTACCGATTGTGACTGTTTGTAATGCGGGTGTCCATGGACAACAGTCTCCTAATTTATGCCCTACTAGCTGAGACCCGCGGTGTTACCCACGTTTGTTGTTATAACCGCGGGCAACGCCGCGGGGCGAAGCTAGTCTAAAAAAAGTAGCCTAAGTTACTCCTTATGTCATAAGCTATCTGCCAGTGAAAGTCAAGTCGAAATCTGTCCAGCCGTTCCAGAGATTACCCGGAACAAACAGACAGACAGACAAAAATTGTAAAAAATGTTATTTTGGCTTATGTACCGTGTAAACATACATATGCATTTAGTAAAAAGCGGTTATTTTAATATTACAAACAGACACTCCAATGTTATTTATTTGTATAGATACAGCAGGTAGGTAGTATCTGCCCTACAACATAATTTTTATTTTATTTAAAAGTAAAGTAATAAAAAATTTACAAACATCCACACAGTCTGTTTATTGTGAGCGGTTACCGGGGCCTAGGAATATGCAAAACACTAGCAGTGCTATTGTGTAATGCTAACTAATCCCCCTCACTTTCAACTCTACTAATACAACTTAATACTAGAAATAAATAGTAATACGCAAATAGGGCTACCAATATTATTATAGCAGTGTTAATGTACATCAGGGTAGTCCATCTACGGATTGTGAATGTGGAACCACCTCTGTTCATCCCGTGGTTGTCATAAGAGCCGACGAAAGGAGAAAACTACGCAGGACAACAGCACTGTAAAGAAAAGGAAAACTTGACACAAACCCTTTTTTTTTTTTTTTAACGTGTGGAAATCCCCTCGGACCGTCACCCCACCGGGGTTTGCGGCGGGGTGGTGTGTCGGACTCGAACCGACTAAAACCACACGGTGTGCCCTCTTTGCGCTTCCAGTTTAGGAGGGGTCCAGGTGGTTATCGCCTTCTGGACCCCTCCCAGCGCCGGCCCGCTCCTGGTGCAGGCTCCGTCTCCAATTTTCCTCTCTTTAGGCGACGTCCGGCACACGCGGACGCCGCCCCCTCGCGGCTGGCCAACTAATGCGGGTGGAGGGGAGAACCCATCCCGTCCACCCGCGGCCCCACTCAGGGCGGCATGAGGCGCAAGTAACTTGACACAAACCCTACACCAACCCGTCTGGCCAACGTGTTATAGAAGGCCAAAACCTCCTTTCTAAGGAGAGACTCATGTCCAGCAGTGGACTATCAAAGGCTGTTGATGATGATTATAGCATCGTCTATCGAGTCAAAGATTGAGCCAGTAATTATAAGTACATACAAATAATATAAGTATTTAGATAGAT